TCTTGCAATGTTTTCTCAAGACGTGTATAATGTTCGACGTTGGGGAGATGTTCAGTCTTTCTGATACCATAGACCCTTTATTTGCACAGCACGTTTGGACGCAATATTCGAACAGTATGCTTCTTCGTTCTCAAAACGCATGTTTGGCGTAAAGATCTCTGCACATTTTCAAGACCTTCTGATCACTGACCAATGAAGAATTCATTCTCTTAAATCTTTCATGATTTAAGCGGTTCAGCTTTCTTCGCAGCGACAGTTGTTTGATCTTTTTTCCTTGTTACTGATCAAGGACATTCTTCACTAATTTCGCTAATGGTATACCCATTGTCTCAAACATCAAGTCTGCAACCATCATGCATTCATGGAAAAGTCTCTCAGTCGCTTACGCACTTCATTAATTTATGCTTAATCAATCAACTTGACGCCGATCCTTCATGAATGGCGGACAATCAGAAAAACCCATCCAACTTACACTGCAAATGTTATGCAGTTCCCTCGTTTCAGGGTCACAGAGGTTAAGTTTCGATACCCAGTTTACCAGACCCATTGGTTTCTCTGTAAACTTTATCTTGGTCTTTCTGCAAGTCATTTCTTGATCTTTAGTTCTACCCTGCGATCCGCAGCCAAAAAACTTTCTAAGCAGAGAAAGAATGGCCTACCTGGAAACTGCGCTCTTCTTTCAGAGAACAGAAGAACTGTTGATTCATATTTCTACCATAAATGTGTGCATCAGTTGTGGTTTTCAATGTCAACTCGAACAGACTGCAAAACACTTGGTCTCATCATTCATGTCGATGCATACGAAGGTACCGTGTATTTCTGAATAGGGGATGATGACTTTGAAAAAAGGATGACGGAAAAATTTAACAAGACAGAGAGATAAACGGTGGACTAAAAAATGACAAACTGGGCAGCATTAAGCTACAAACATAGACTCAGTCGTCCAAAGACACACTGGAACAATCGGTAGGGAAATTATTTGACCAGCAATATAGGCAGAAACAAAGGAAAAGGGAACACTGGAGGAGCGTCTACTTGCATCCCTGGAGCACCCATAATCAGGGAAGGTCCGTTAGACAGATAAGGGATATACGTTTCCTGCATTTGCCAACATTTATGGCTCTCAACTGAGCAAAAGTCTAAGAATAAACGAATAAACTAAGATTTTAGAGTACTGTTCTTCCGTTCTTGCTCGTTCTTCATCTCCTATAGCTGTCTCATTATATTTTTTCTATCAGCTTCTTTTCTTTTCATTTTTCTTCTCTTTCCTTTTCTCGTTCTTAACCATTTTCTTTATTTTTATGATTTTTTCTCTCGTTGTTTTTTATTGTTCTTATATTTCTTCTTATCTAGTTCTTATTACTCACCTTCTTTTCTAATTTAAAAATAAATGTGTAATATGCTAACCTATTGCTCAATAAGAATTGTTCTTATCGAAGTCGAATTCTATTGGACGCATGAGTATGCCGTTAACTATGAGACAACTGATAAGTGCTATAGTTGACCTTCAGTAAAAACAAAGTTAATTGGGATATGCTTCCACTCTTGATTTTTCAAATCAGAATTATTGATTGTTCTGTCTTTAGCAAATCCACTAGTCGTCCAGCAGAAATCATAAAAATAACCGTTTTTGATATTCCTTTATCCACTTGCGAGTACTTTATTAATGGAGATTAGATGCTACCACCTGCAAGGGCGGCCAGTAATGGGGTAAAACTAAACAACTTCTGGAAACGTAGATTTACATCGTTGTGAACTGATATTCATGATAAATCAGTGTTCGTTAATTACCAACGTACTTTTCCGCGGAACATCTTTGAAACACCTCGTTTAAGCCAAAAATGTCCAAACTCATCCTCTACCATTTCATGATAGTCTGAAATATGAACTCGAATGTGAAACGTTTGTACTGCCTTTGTTTCCTTACTTACTTTTTAGATAAATACAGAATACAGAGCAACCATCTGCGGTACATAAACCTGGTGTTAGCGGATCTTCTAACACGACTGAGCAACCACTACCGCGATTCTACGTTCAAAGCCACAGTTGTGGGCGAGCTTCCATTAGAAGCGGTTATTCGTGCAACAGCGGAACGAAAAAGGGTACGTAGCGTGTACTTACCGTAGCTCTTTAAATGACATATCCACAGTATCAGTTTGTAGACCTTCCTCTCACAATTGAAATTGAATTCGAATTCATTCAAGCGTTCAGAGTCTAGTGGATTATATATTACAGTCAACAGTGATCATCCCTCCATACAGGAATGAATTAAAACTGGTTTGCGGTTCAATACCGCTGTTGTACTTAACCATTACGAAGCCCACCTTTATATCTGGAATTTAGCACTATTGCTGCATGTTATTTTTACTCCGTGGCTTGGATATACACTGAGGCCTGGGCGAAAATGCAGTTAAACTACCCATTACTGGTGATAAGTAAATTAGTTTCAATCCATGCCGTTACAGATTGATTGCTATTCCGGAAGGTGACATTTACATGATCAGATATTAAAAATGCCTTCGTTTCGGCAGATTTTTCTTAGGCCTTCTTTAAGTTAAAGTGGATGATAGATTGTTGGCAAATTTAATCGTCTAAAAACTATTAAAACAGCAGCACTGACCGATAATACACTTCTTTTAATCTGTCGTGCACAACCAGCATATTCACCTTAAAAAGTACTGTGAAGTACACGAACCAATTATTCGGTGTTCGTGTATCTCTTGATAAGTTATCTATATTGCGTTGCACATGGATAACCCGTTTTGTTTAGCTTTCAGCTGTTATCAGACTAACAAACTACTTCACAACCACGTTATATCGGTCAAAAGTTTCAGAATTTATTAGAATATAAACCCAACCTCATGAATGCTTCTATTTGACCGATAGATGCCATCTTGCGGCAACTTGGAAGACACAAAGACAGACGGTTACATGCAAGTTTTAGCCTCGATGGTTGAGCGCAGCGAAAGGAGAATCCACGGGTGAATTTTATCGTTGCCAGCCGTTGCCTGGAATCGCAATGGGAGATTGTGGGAGAGCAATTTTGCCCCCCGATACAATAACAATGTTCAGGGTTTTGACCTAACGTTTGTACTGCAATGTAGAGTACAATGAATACAACATGAGAAACAGTCCGGTTCATACGCATGCAGCCTCGTCGCACTCGGCTGCGAATCTTTCTAGGGAGCACTGAAGATCAGTTTCAGAAGATGCTAATAAAACAAGGTCATCTGCAAACAGCAACCTTCTCGACTTCACAACTCCTACACCGATACACTCATCGCCTTGGCAGCTCCTGACTATTCTATGGATGGACAACACAAACAGGATAGGGGACAGGACGCAGGTTTGACGGAGACCAGTGCCAAGGCTGAAACGAGTCCACTTAACTCCAATTACTCAGACGCTGCACCTGTTTTCGGCATATTGCTCCTGGATGGATCGCAGCAACAAGCCATCGATCCTATATGTTCGAAGGCATGCCCTTAAGTTGTTGCGCGGGACCCGATCATAGGCCTTCTCTAGGTCCACAAAACACATATAAACCGAATGAGCAAACCTCTGAGATTTTTGAACAATCTGGAGTAAGGCGAATATCTGGTCAGAGATACTTCTGTCACACATTAAGTACGCCGCTGTTCTTGTATCATACAGTAAGTTACTCTTCAGCACTTCTTTCTAACACCT